GCAAAGGCTGTGAATACTTATGTACATGTTATGTTTTCGTTCTTTATTTTTAATAGATTTGCAAAAATTTGCAAAAAACAGTTTTCACTTTGTCATTATGGGTTGATGTGTACAGAATGTTGAGGAAAATAATGAATTTAATCCATTTTGGAAAAAGGCTGTAACATAACAAAATGTGGAAAAAGTGAAGCGCTGTGAATACTTTCTGGATGCACTGTATAATCCTTTGCTATTGCTAAATGCAGAAACCAATTTACAACAGCAGGTGGTGTAGTTATTTAGAGGGATTTAAGTTCAATGCCTTCAACTATATGACACACACCTGTTTTTAAGTCTGAACAGCCTGAGTGCTCAGAAAGCCATAGACAACAAGTGCCCATGAGCACTAATGTTGGTTTGTCAGAAGGGAATATGGCTTTATTGTCACTGCTGTCCAATCACACGACACCTTCCCCCAAACACATGCCTGAGAGACAGACAGCCATCATTAGTCTCCGTCTCCCACGGTGCTATCAGCCAGTGCGCTCTTATTTTTAGCTGTCCCCGAATAGAACACAGGGTAGCAGTTGGAGGGATCCATTCTGTTGCCAGAAGGTCTCAGGTTCCATCTCACAAATGACAGTGTGTTGAATTGTCCTGAACAACACACTAAAACCAGACTGACTCATTTTGAACATTCACTTACTGACAGTAACAGAACAGTTAATCAAAATTTAATTAATTTGGTTAACGTGAAACAATAATACACAGTAGAAAATTCCTAAAGAAATTTTGACAGTGTGGCTTCTACTGCCCGAAGAAATCGCAATATATACACACGCCAATGTTACCGGTAGTGTCATTCAGGTTCAATTGAGATAGCACTACTCTCTTTTCTGCATTTTAGATTCATACTCTTGGATTGAATCTTGTATTTGTGGGGCTTTTATTTTGAAAGGGTGGGACTGGGTGGGTGAGTGAGTGGGAAAGTGAGACAGGCAGACAGACAGTTAGATGGACTGAGTGAGTGGGAGAGAGAGACAGGCAGACAGACAGTTAGATGGACTGAGTGAGTGGGAGAGTGAGACAGGCAGACAGACAGTTAGATGGACTGAGTGAGTGGGAGAGACAGACAGACAGAGAGCGAGAGCCTGTGTGCGTGTGTGTAACTGGTTGCCATGGTGAGCCACGCACCTGGTGTTAGAGGCAGACTGATTAAGAAACGTTGCAGTAATCAGTGATTTTGAACAAAACCCCTGCCTCTTTTTAACAAATTAGCAGGAGTCTGAGTGCCAAAATATGGATACCGTGAGAAAGATAAGACTCTGCCAAACGCGCTGATGTGTTTTTTATGTTTGTGGTCTTAAAAATGTGAGCTCCAGAGCAATAGACAAAACTGGTACCGTCTGCTTTCTTTGAGAAATTAGTGGTGAGATTTAACATTGAGTCTAATGGAGCAGTTGGTTGGAGTTCATGTCGCTCTGCGGCTCTTTGAGCCAAATGTGTAAGTCCGTTGGATTCCATAGACACTTTACTGCGACCAGCACAACATTTCCAAGCTTTTTGGCCAAAATGGTGTATAAAGTAACAATTGTGGGAGCTGGAGCAATTTGTTTGGAAAAATCACAGAAGATTTTCCTGCTCTGCTCCACTCCACAAATTGTCTTGAAACTTAATCTGTGACTTCATGAAAACTGTGCTAGCTATCAAAATGTCCATTTGGCTCAATAAAATGCAGGGCTTTTTGTCTACGTTTTAAACTTTGAATCATGTTTCTACGTTAAAGTATGGCTTGTCAATATGGGCCCAAAGTTAAGTGTTTTTTTTGCTCTCTTCACGCCGGAACTCCATTCAAGTGAATTTTTGCATTTTGCTCCGTTTTTGGGGATTTTCGGGAATTTTCGATAAAACCGCTTGGCAAATCTCTCTGATAGATAGCACACTATTCCCGATCAGGCCGCACGTTTTGATGTATTTTTCACGCCGCTGTTGGCAACGCTGTGTGAGGAGAAGTGTGCCAAACTTTTGGATAAACCTGATTATTATTATTATGAAGCCCGATGGATAATATACAGTGTGCTTTGGCACAACTGCCTTGTGCCACAAAGCCACACTGAATTAGCTGTAGAGTTTCCCAGGTTGGGTGTGAAAGAACAACAAGGCTTTCAAGTTAGTTATTGGGTATAATAACTAACTTGCATTTAGCAATAGCAATACTCAGTCCAGAGTATTAATGTTTGCGTTTCAGCAGCCTATTTTTCACCGAATAAAATTTGTCTGAAGCCGCAAAAGCTATTTGATATCACAGCTTATAAAGTTTCATATATAGTTATGTTATATATACAACAAACTATAGTTTTTGTATATTTATGAAATTATAGAACAAGAATAAAGACAATTCTTGACATTTTACCTGTTATAACAATATCAAACTCTTATGAAGAGGAGAAAAAAACTTCCTCAGTTTGCTGCAGCAATCGCCCTTTTTCGCTCATCTCCAGCGTGATACTTTTGAAATGCTGTGTGCTTGTTCTGGAAGTGTCTTTCAACATCACCAGGTAGCCAAAATTACCTGGCCCAGATCCGGCATAAGCTCGGCACGCCAGAAGAAACACGTCGGGCAGAGTCCGGTTTCCGACTCGGCTGAGACTCGGGATGAATGACGCCCCAGAGTCGGGCCGAATACACTGGCCCGATTCCGGGTGCTGACACTGCCGTCACTGGGCCATAATCGAAAAGAACCAGGGCCAGCATCGGCCCGCCAGAAGAAAGGCGTCGGGCTGAGTCCGGTTGCCGACTCGGGATGAATGATGCCGCAGAATCGGGCCGAATAATGTTAAGTGAAAACCATTAGCCAAATAAATAAAGGTACATCTCATATTCATATTTATTCTTTGCAAGTTATTAAAATGAACATTTTGCATTTTGGTCGTTTTTGCAACCAGAGGGGACACAAGCAGTCCAACGAATGCTAAATAAGCACTGTAAGAAATGTACCGTGAAATTCAGTTATTAACTGGCAGCTATTGACTAGTAACTTACTGTAAACCCAAGTCACAGTAATTGTTACCATGCATTGTATTTTTTAATACAGTAGCAGTGTTTTGATTGTGAAATCAAACAAAGCAATTAAAGTATTTACTGTATTTTTGGTTAGTGTTATAACCATAATATAAATAACAGTAATCTCCAAGTAGTGTAATTGTTTTGAAAGTTAGTGTTTAAACTGTAAAATAAAACACAGTAATATCAAAGTACTGTTTATTTTTTACGGTAATACTGTTTTAGCTGTAAAATATAAAATTGAATGTTGTATTTTTAAGTTACAGTATCTTAATACCGTGCTGGTAATTTACATATTACCAGTATTCTGCTGTTAAAATAAAATATCACTGTATTTTAAAATACACACATTTTTAAGCTTCAACAATAACTGCAGGGAGACAGCAAACAATACATTTTTAACAATTTATTCTTAGTTGTTGAACAGTAGCAAGGATAACGTTATTCCTGTGCTTGCGAGTATACCGTGGCTTCAACAAACATAATGCACTAGGAATTTTGTTTTCTTTTGATAACCCAATGACAATTATCTTCTGTCTTCTGAAATGTGCATAACTGACAAGCAGCTGTAATCTCTAAACATTTACAATATTAGCAATCACAAAACGATGGATATTAATATCCAAAAACATGAATATTGCAATATTTGAAACCGTGGCGATAACAAATCAACACAAAAATATGAGGCCTTTTCTTCTGTCAATTTTAATGTTAACATGTACTCTACAGGAGGAATTTGAGGTAGACAGCTTAAAAGGTGTTTACATCTCCATGAAAACCTTAATGCTAACTGCAAAAACAGTGTACTATACACATTAGTATACAGTACAGTTCATACTTAACAATTGCTATATTTTATGGAAATTGGACCAAGCATATGTATCCGTAACAGTTCCCTTTAAAACTTATAACAATGACAGTAACATCTTAATAATACCGTTTCCCCTTTACATACAAAGAGAGCTCACCCTGTTCCATGGACGAACTGAGGTGACTTCACTGAGCAAAGTGGTCTGTGGCTCCTTGCTTCTTAGTGAGTCCATCACTATTCAGTCCATCAGCTCCACAGTGCAAAATGAATAGCAGATCCCTGAAAAAACAACAAAAACAATAGCAAATAAGAATTTAACTTCATTTGTGTGGATGAAGACCAGGGATTTAGGCATATTGTTTGACCTGTGGGAGATCAATGTCCCACATATATCTTTAATGGTGTGAAGGCAATCTGGCATTCATGGAGTGGAGTCACTAGTGTGGGTACAGGCTTATCATCTTTTATTTTCTTTCTTAACTCCATAAGCAGGATAGGAAACATACTTTATGAATAAAATGCAACACTGTGGCGTTGCAGATGAGCATGAAATAACTGTAACTGTTTCCGAGAATTTAGACAGCCTATACAGTGGCACGTACACTTAGGTTACAGTCTGCCCTGTCCAGCAAACTGATGTCTGAACTGGAATATAAATAAGGTTTTGCTACCAGGCGAGCAAATGTAAATAACACGGGGAAAAAATGATTCAATGCAGACATTGATCCGTTGTTGAATGAGGAAGAGGGGAAAATGATATAGTTCACCGTAATTAACTATTGCTAATATCAATGTCCGTTCCAACCACATCTACTGACATAACAACAGGAAGTCAGTGGTAAAGTAGTAAAGCCTGCATCTTGCTTGACTTGATTGGCTGCCTCTGTCAATTGTGACATTGACAAGAGGTGCGACTGCGCATCTGGTGCTGAAAAGTTGAGAATATTTTATCTAAGGAGTGCACGGTGTATGAAAGGAATGCAATGGTTTTGCAGGTGACGCGTTTTTGGTGTAGTCGGTGTGAAAATTGGATGTCTCTGTCTCCCTCCCCACACATCCGCAACTATGGAGTCATGTTCAACAGCAACCTCTCCTTTGAACACCACGTCAAACAAATCACCAGAACTGCCTTTTTCCACTTAAAAAACATAGCCCGTCTCCGCCCATCACTCTCCTCATCTGCTGCTGAAACTATGATCCACGCCTTCATCACCTCCAGAATCGACTACTGCAACAGCATTCTTCACGGCACATCATCCAAAATCCTAAATAAACTCAAGTACATCCAAAACTCTGCTGCTCGCCTGCTCTCCCACACCCGCTCCCATGACCACATCACCCCTGTTCTCCAGAACCTCCACTGGCTCCCCGTCCCACAACGGATTGAATACAAAGTCCTTCTCCTCACCCATAAAGCCCTCCATAATCAGGCCCCCTCCTACCTCACCGACCTGCTTCACCACCACACTCCATCCCGTCGGCTCCGCTCCTCTGATGCCAACCTCCTGTCCCTTCCACTCAGGACCAAGCACCAGACATGGGGCGACAGAGCCTTCTCCATATCTGCCCCCTCCCTCTGGAACTCTCTCCCCAAACGAATCCGAGACTGCACCGACCTTTCCATGTTCAAATCCCAAATCAAAACCCACCTTTTCAAAACTGCTTTTAATGTGTGACCATTATTATGTATTTTAGTTTTTAGTGTTGCTTTTATATATGATGATTTTAATGTAAAGTGTCTTTGAGTACTATGAAAAGCGCTATATAAATAAAATGTATTATTATTATTATGTTTAGTAAAACTCACACTGTTGTGAGGAGGAACTCTGCTTTGTCTGTGTGGGCATGCCTGTTCTCTCAATGTTTGCCAGTTCATCAGTTTTAAGTCATCTAAATATTTTAAGTTAAAGTCCGCTCAAACAGACACACACGGATAAAATAACACGGAACAAAAAAACAAGGCCGCAGCATCTTTAATCTGTAGAGCTAAAATCAGTAAACTCTGGTTACTGATATGCTTCATGTATATATGCAGATTTACAGTGCACTGCGGTGCGTTTATACGTGTTCCCCGATTACCAACAGAGTGGATGTTAACAGTTAGCGCAGATGGGTTCAATAGTATATGGCATCAGAAAAAGCCACATTTTGACAGATTAACTTCCAGCGTGCAATAGTAATAAAACTCAATTCAGAGTTTATGAGTGTTCTTTTACAGATTTGTCTAATTTTACTGTTGTTGGACAGAGTTAAACATATGTAATGGGCACTTAGTGGTGGCAATGTTTGCGATTACTTACTTACATTCAATTGTTTGTTTTTACTGTTGCATGCTGCGAAATCTAGCAGCTACAATATAAACCTTTTAGTCTTACACAATAATCCATTCAATTCTATGCCATTAGACAATATACATTTGTATATATAGATATATATATATATATATATATATATATAGTAAATATATATATTTTTTAATATGTATTCAAATTACTTCATAAAATCGGTCTAAATGATCAGATACAGTTCCTTTTTCCACGCTCATCTGCAACGAAAAGTGTAATCTTTTATTCACAAATTATTTCTGTTCTGTGTGGAGCAAGGTTGTAATAGTTTTTAGTTTTTTAATGAAGTATATAGTTTTTGTATTTAGTTGTTATAGTTTGTTTTTGTTAGGGCCACGTATAATGTCTCTACATATACATACAAAATACGTGGTCAAAAAAACTGTTTACGAATGGCCATAATTTTGAAATCTTTTGATTTGGGAATCAACTTGTGTATTTTCAGAACCACAGAAGAAAACCAACCTGCAATTTCAACCCTACCCCAGCTGGTCAACATCAGACCTGAATAGATTGGTAAAATGTAATTTGTTCTACTGAATCATAATGTTGTTGTTCAATTTTTCAAGACTAGACTATTCTTGTATTGTCCACAAATGCCACCTAAATGCAAGTACGGTGATTTTTACCTGGTCAATGCTACAAGCAGACTTTAATGGAGAAATGCAGGTAATGCAAAGAAACGTGATGTACATAAGAATTTTTAACAATACCTTTGTATACGTTGTGGCTGCTTCCACCTGATACCCAAGGGCAGGGCAGTTGTGAAATCTGGCATGGGAGGTAAATATGTGATTACCACACGGCCTTCTATGGACAGCATCCACCTGTTCGCTGATATATATACATACAATAAACATATGCTGTATATGATTTTAAAAGTCCAATCGTGGCAAGTGAGCATATTTGTTTAATCACTCTTATTATAAACTGCAAAACTTACAATCCGTGCCTCTCCACCAAGTCAGAGACGCAAACTTTGACGAGTTTCAGCCTGTTTTTTCTGTAAAAATGCCTTGAGTTTGGAGTTCAGGAACTTTCAGGAACTTTCTTTTCGAGGAGAGGCCTCAATCCATCCTGTACATCCGGCTCCTTTATAGGCTTAAAAGAGAACTAAGAGCAAAGCCGCAGAAAGCAGAAATTTAGACTAATTTCCATGAGATTCTTTGGAGCAAAATTTGACAATATGTACACATAACCCCAAAAAATATAAATGAAAATGTACCTGAGTTAGACAGACTTCTCTTGCAACAGGTTGAAAATGGGAACTTGGAATCTGTCAAGGTTCCTTATCTGTACACTACTATCAACATCAGTAAACTCTTGGAAATCTGTGTTTTTTAAAATCCTTTCAAGGACAAATCCCAATTTGCTCGTCTTTTCCAGAAGTTGGTTTGTGCTTTGGACACTGTACATTTTTCTTGTCAATTCTTTACCATCCATCATCCTTAAATGTGGTTGCGAGGACTTTCACAGCCCTGAAGCTCTCCACATTGATTTTATATTCATGTGCAGAAAGGTCCTTCGCCCTATATAACGGGAGGGAAAGCCCTGCTACAAAGTCAACTGTGATTAAAAAACCTGTTCTAGTCCCTGTTCAAGACAATTATAAACAGCTAGCTAATATTAGTTCCATGTAGGTTAATGGCACACTTAGTTTCTTTAACAAATCAAACACAGTTAACCCAAACTTTACATTTAATAACGTTACCGCTTAACCACTTAACGATACTTACTTTTCCTCTGCCCCATCGCTAACTCCTGTCTGCTCTAAGCGCATCTAACTCTCTCTATCGTACACCTCAACACGTAACGTAAAGATGACCTATCTCGGACGGCGCTAGCCGCTATTGGCCCATCTCAAACGATTCCGTCGTGGCGCACTTTCCGGTCATTTCGCTGTCATTTTCTTTGTCGATCGCCCAGTAATATTAATTCATACATATCAAAGAATCTACGTGTCAAATATCATGAATATATATGGACGTTTACATGTCTAAATACTGTAGGAAAGTGACTGATGAGAGAAAGCAGAAAGGACACTCGGGCGACGGTCTTTACTCTGAAAAGTGTCTCTGTATTTTCACCGTATTGCTAATATGAGTTAGCATATGAGTGTAGTTTGTAGCTAGCTTTACACTACTTTGTCTAGCCAATGAAAATATAGCATTGATGTGTGACATAATCTGTAGTCGAGGAGAGGGAGGCAGAAATGTTGTGTCTGAAAAAATAGTTGTGGCCCCGGGAAAAACGAACAAAGAATCGTAGCGCGAGTTAAAGGTAGGCTGCTGTTTGTTTGGTCTTAGCTCTGAAACATAGCAGCAGACATATGTCAAATTAAATGTTTTTCTTGTTTATCATAAGCCAGGCTACATTAAGTATATTAATGCACAATTATCTGATAAATGATGCAAATAATGTTGGTGTGTGTGTGTGTGTGTGTGTGTGTGTGAGAGAGAGTGAGAGAGACTGTCTGTACATTTCTTGAAAGCCAGCAGTGACTCTTATGATTAGAACTATTGGTTATGTAGATAAACCTCCAATATAATACAGTGCTATGTTATACAGTATATAAGGTTAACCAAAATGTATGTTTTTGACTCAAGTTTGGGACAGACGGATCGGTGCGGCTGCAGCAGTAAAGCAGGCGCTGCACCGGACCGTCTTGGTGAAGAGGGAGCTGAGCCGGAAGGCAAAGCTCTCAATTTACCACTCGGTCTACGTTCCTACCCTCACCTATGGTCACAAACTCTGGGTCGTGACCGAAAGGACAAGCGGCCGAAATGAGCTTCCTCCGTAGGGTGGCCAGGCTCAGCCTTAGAGATAGGGTAAGGAGCTCGGTCATCAGGAGGGAACTTGGAGTCGAGCCGCTACTCCTTCGCGTCGAAAGGAGTCAGCTGAGGTGGTTCGGGCATCTAATTAGGATGCCTCCTGGACGCCTCCCACTGGAGGTTTTCCAGGCACGTCCAACTGGGAAGAGACCCCGGGGAAGACCCAGAACACGCTGGAGGGATCTCCCAGCTGGCCTGGGAACACCTCGGGATCCCCCAGAATGAGCTGGAACATGTTGCCGGTGAGAGGGAAGTCTGGGTCAGCCTGCTTGGCCTGTTGCCACCGCGACCCGACCCCGGATAAGCGGAGGAAAATGGATGGATGGATGACTCAAGTTTCTCTCTTGTGGTTTATGTTCCTGCCTGAAAAGATAGAGAACAGAGACAGAGAGAAGGAAGAGAAGAGAGGCAAAGGGAGACATCAAGAAGCAGAAAAAGAGTAGAAAGCAGACTTAAAGAAGCAGAAAAGAACAGAACGAAGACATCAGGAAACAGAAAAAGAGTAGAAAAGACAGGAAGAACCTTTAAAGTAAGAAAGGTAGGTAACAAGTGTCTGTGTGAGAGTTTTTTCCTTTACAGGAGGATCAAGAAAAAAAAAAGATGGATATAGAAATTGTAAATCTGCAATGGTTTAAGGTAAATATATTTATGTCTATGCATGTGTTAAATATGCATGCGTCTATACATGGTAATCTGGCAATTCATAGAATTATTCAACTTATTGAGACATGTATTGTGGCTTTAAAACAAATTTTGAATTTAGTTTCTCACTGTGTCAAAATGAATGTGTATTTGCAGATGCCAAACATCCGGCAAGTTCGGAAGAGGGAGATGAAGACGGCAGGCAGCCCAGCAGTTTGGGGTTCCGAAATCCAGCCTGAGTGACCGAGTCAGTGGAAGGGTGTCCTCTGACTGTCTCTATGGTCAGAGGACTCTCCTCACCCCTGAAGATGAAGATTCCCTGGTGGAGTACTGTTTGTATTCTGCCAGTCACGGATTTCCACTGACGAAGCGTCAGGTCCTGGCCCACGCTCTGGCCATTTACAACCTCCGCCACCAGGAAGCACCTAGAACCGTGCTTGGCCAGACATGGTGGATAAACTTTAGAGAGCGGCAACACCATCGCCTTACTGCCCGGACCTCAGACATCATTGACCGTGGGAGGGCATCCTGCGCCAAGAGGGGGCCAATTGAGGAGTATTTCGGGCTCCTCAATTGGTTGAGGGAGAAACCCCGTCAGAGAAACCCCGTCAGATATATAACTGTGACGAGACGGGGTTTCAGCTGGACTCTACAAGAAACAAGGTCATCGTGCCCCGGGGGACTAAACATGCTTA